ATGCTATCAGTCAAAACATGGTTTTGTGTGTCATTCATGAAAAGATTTAAACTGAAACTTCTTATTTCTGTCCCCTGCTGCAGGAGAACCAGTTGGAGTATCACTGCAAATGTGGTGCTGAGGAGTCCTCACAGAAGTGATCATTCTTGACCCAGCAAAAGTGAGTAATGAGAGGCTGACCATGGTACAGCCAGGTGCCAGGCAATTCCTTTCACTTCATTTCCTCATTTTGTGTTCCTATTTCAGTTTGTGTCTGACCAGCTCTCCTAGATCTCTTTTCTGTCAACAGTGTGTTGATCCTCCAACTGAATAGATTCAGAATGACCCCAGCTTTCAGACTGGAAAAGGTGTTCTGCCCCATCATTTTATCAAGGAATTTTGTTGTGAATCCTAGACCCAGTAGCACCAAACAGGTACATAAATTACAGATACATAAAGTAACCTGTCTAGAATACTTGTGGTGAAATGTGCAGCTAACTGTTGCTAACTGTGCTTCTTTCTAGACAAAGGTTCACTACTCTCTGGTGAGCATCATCAGCCATTTGGGCTTCACAGCTTACTTTGGTAAGTGTTTGGTTGTGTTTTGGCAGCCACACATGCTGAATATGAGTTTATGAAGCTACTTCCTCTTCAGGTGTATCATTAATAAATGTGTCCTCTCCTCTCAGGCCACTACATATGTGACGGTGTTTACCAGCAGAATCGTTGGTTGACGTACAATGACAAGGAGGTCACTGAGACAACAGGCACCTCAGTCTGTCAGGCAGAGAACAGCATACCTGCTGTTCTCCAAGAAAAAGGTAACTGGAGAGACACACCACATACATGCTTAATGTTTTCTGTAGAGCAAGAAAACAGATATTTGTCCAACTAAGCAATTCAACATTATTTAAAAACCCTGACAACATGCTATCTTGTATTGTTTTGTCTTTTAAGAAGTAGAAGAGTTCAATGGCTGGGAGACAGACCTGCAGCACTATGGCACCATTCACCATTCAGTTGGGTGCGCTCTCCCTATCCTTGGCCCCGGACTTTGGCCCAGACCCCTGCAACCTCACGTCCTCATCTTTTGAGGGAACAAGGCTAGCCCTCTTGTCCTGGAGGGCTAGGAAGGAAGGGCCTGACCAAGTCAGACCCCTTGCTGTAGCAGTTCCCGTTTGTCCCAGAAATCCAGCCTGCCTGATGTGGGAGACTGGGTCTTTGCCAGGTTGTTGTTCAGAGGTAACCAGTTAATATGGTTTATTTGCAGGGGACCTGGTAAAAAAAACAAACAACTGAGTTATTGATGGGCTATTGCGTGCATATGTTAAGACACCCCACAATGTTTATTTTCTTTTATTATATTTTTTGTGCAAGTTCAAAGTCAAATGCGATAAGATACTGGCCGCTCCTGAACGCCTCTCAATGCAATATCCGGAGGTGCCGTGAAAGTGCTGGGACACACCTCCTTTTTCTGGTGTAGAGCTCTGTATTTTTTTGGGCTTTGGGGGCAGTAGTGAGGAGTGCAAGAGAGGAGCCGATGATGGTTGTATTTTGAATGAGTACGAGAAAAATAAAAGTTTTTGTGTTAACACAGCAACTCGACTGGACCCAGTGTGTTAACCTGCTGCAACACTGACACTCCCAGCCTTGGCCGGGGGAGAGCTGCCTGAGTTCTGAAAAAAGCCAAGCAATCCGACAGCTATCTCTTTCTCCCATCCAGTAAACTGGCTTTTTCATATACAATAAACTCTACTTTATATCCCACTCTCGGTGTGTGTGTTGGTACATTGGGTCCAGCTAATACGGGACTGTTGTGATTTGTGTCCTGCTTCCTGTTTTGTGCTTTTATTTTGGTTAGTTTCCTGTCCTTTCTGTTCATTGCTTCCACCTGCTGCTCATTACCACCAGGCCTCCTGTCTTTATATCCTCCTTCCCTTGGTCTGGTTGCTGGCTCATTTGATATCCATGCCTCGCTTGTGCTCTGTCCTTGATGTCCACACCTGGTTGGTTCTTTTGCCTTCACGTCCTGTTTCTGGACACCTGTTAGTTTGACGTTGTGCTACTTCAGTTTTAGATTCTGTATGTTTGTCATTCTGTTTTTGTTACCAGAGTTTAGTTTTCTGACCATTCTATTAACCTTTAGTTCTGTTTTTTCAGTACTTTTAGTTTCTTATTATTTGAATAAAGACTGATAAACTATCACAACCAGAGTTTGTGTCTGCATTTTGGGTCTTTCCATGCCCAAAACACAATGGCGACTTAGCAATGACACCAGATCGGAACACACATTAAAGTAGTTGTAATTTAAAGCTCTTTGTCACTATTTTTCATAATCAAACATCACTTAAACTTAATCACAGTTTCTTCAAAATATATCTGAGACCTTGATGCAAAAATCAAAGCAATTGATGCATGAAAAACATTAAAATCAATTAGAATTTGTTTATTAAAAAGCAAAAATGTTATGTTGTGCAAAAAGGGGTTCAACTGCAAACAGGTCGGTCAGCAAGAAATTCAATTCAAGAATGAAGCCATTACTGGAAGAAGAGAGTCCGTTTTATACAGGGATTCAAACGATGATTCAGAATTAGGGCTGTGGAGTCAGAATTGCGAGACTATCGCATATAGTTTGCAAGTAAATTTTGGGGCCAAATTATTAATACAGGTATTGCGGACAGGAGAACAAATCTCGAAACAACACTGCCATTACAAATTAAACTGCTGTATGGCCTTTCTCGGCTTCCGTAGACAAATAGTAACAAACACGGAAGTAGTTGTCAGAGACACCTCCTGCTCCACTTCCTGTGAATTGCTCTCTGTTGGCGGCAGTACCACTTTAAGTGCAGGATGTATTCGTTCTTTTGGAAACAGGAAACGTGTTCCTGTCAGTAACAAGCCCCTCCTTTACTTTAGTTTTGCCATAAGTTTCTGGCGGTCGTACAGTTATTCAACGGCCTTCTCTCCGAAACATCCCCGCCACCTTACCAGTTAGTTCCGGTCTTCTCTGTCAATGGCTAATTCCACTGTCGATGAACGTAAGTTTTCAAGCTTTTTTTTTTTTTAAATTACCGTGTGGGTGTTAAGTAATCAAAGTGGATCAAAAATTTCCCTAACCCTTTCCCCGGAAAGGTTTTCTTATTTGTCCAAATAGCTAATTAAGTTACACTTAATTGATGAATTGTTGATGTGAACTTGTATGGAAAATGCAGCTACCAGCTAACTGAGCTTTTAGGCAAAGTTATGTCAGAAAACTCTACACATAAGTTAATTATCCTATCTTCACACAGCTTAAGGCAGTTCAAGTTTTTTTTTCCAGAGTTAGACTAGCTGTGAACTTTATACATTTTATATTGCTGTATGTTAGTACGAATAATGACCATCAGCCCATCCTAGTTATGGTCCTAACAAAGTTAAAGGCTGTGTTATCTTGAGGTTGTATTGTATGTATATATGGATTTGTATTAGTTTGTTACCAACCTTTCAAGATTTTAGTGAAATGAATCATAAATCACATGCTCCAAGGAATGCTCAGGTATTCTTTGTCCACTTCCAGGAGAAGCCTTGCTCTTTTCTTTTTAACCTTTATAATGCCAGAACTTTTTCTGTTTTCCATGTAGAGTGTGCAGCTTGTGAAAGGCCAAGGACCCTGTTTAGTCCTCATCACCAACTCTTGTTTTGAATTTATTTGGCAAACAAGCTGAGCAGAAATGCTTCAAGGAAAATAAAAATGTCAAGCTGCATTTCTTTTTTTCTATGAAATTCATTCAGTGTGAATGTGAATCCACACCCATGATGTTTGGATATGCCTGTCTTGTGGTGCTCTTTCTCTCAGGACACCATCACAGCACCAGCTGTTGCTAAGAGATTCATGACTCGCCTGTAAATCCTCCTCAAGGACTCTGTTCAACCTGTTTGCCAGTCTCTAGTCTTTTTTTTTGTTTGAATGCTTTTAATACATTCAGAGGACTGGGATCATGCCAGGACGGCCCATTAGTGTGGGCGTCACTTGACTGAAGCACATGGGCGGTCAGGGATCAGAGGGTGGTCTCTATTATATTGGTGTGTTCAGTCTGATACACCCAGGAACTGGGGCAGTAGAAGAGCACAAATGCCAGCACAGATCAGGAGACGTAGGGATATGCAGCTACATGCCTAAACACACAGTGGTGTGTACTTCAAAATATGAAGGTTTGATTTGATCTTGATACGACTAAGGATTCTGCCTTTTATGATCTCTTTCCAACTTGTCTCATATGTGCTGATTAAAAACTGGAAAACAGACAAAAACCCTCTTGTGTGTTGACCTTGCACCTGATCAGTCTCAATGCATTGAAATGTAAGTTACAACTGAAGAAATATTTAATCATGTAAATGGAATCCAGTGAGTTTCTTAAAGCTGCGACCTTTAGACAGTCACTTTTGTTGATTTAAAAAAAACATTTAGATACTCTGTTAATCATTCCAACAAAAATGAGTGGCTGTTTGCTGCTTTTCTGTCATATCAGTATCTTTTGGTTGGACAAAACAAGCACTTTAAAGATGTGTTGTGCTCTGGGAAGTTGTGATGTTTGTCATTTTAAGAGTTAAATGATCGATCGAAAGTAATTGGCAGATTCACAGGTAATGAAAATCTCTACTTTTAGCTCCAAAGTGTCAAGTAATATGAAGTGAAAGCATGTTGATCCTTGTTTTGGGGTCTGAAGTCTGATGTGTACAGTATGTCTGTGAGCAGAGGAACCTTGAGCTAGAGTGGTAAAGTTTATGAGCCTTGTGCTCTTGTTTAGCTGCAGTCAGTTACATAAATAACCAACCCTGCTACATATAGACTGGATTTGTGTTTCAGCAGGCTCAAATCCACTGTTTATGTTCAATAAAAGCTGACTATAAATGTTAATTTTACATTAGGAGCAGGAGTGTTGCACTTAATGGTCTGAAGCATTTGCGTGAAAACACTGTGCTCCCATCCTCATTACCAACAGTTTATAGGACACCTGTAAAGCTGTCTTTCAGCTGTCCTCAGTCTCTTCAGTTGGGGATGTCCTTCCCTGCTTTAAACTGTAGTTAAAGCAAAAATTCTGACTGAACTAACTGCCTTTCTGGTTACCTACCCTTCCATTCCTAGTTTTATTTTGTCATTTCGCTCTCTGCTCCTCTTGCACTGAATGAGACCTCAGAACTCTGAAGAGGTGACACAGCTTGCACCAGATCAAGCAGTTAAGGGGCAAAGACAACAGTACACTGGATTGATCCAGGAAAGTGCTGTTACATAGTGGCTCAGACCTCAAGTGTATCCTCAGGTGTACTGTGTATACTCTGACACCCTGTGGATGTCAGGTTGGCAACAGTGGTGTTAGGACAATAAATTTTTCTTTGTACAGTTGCAACAATATTTAAAACTCTGTTTGTCCCTCTCTGTCCTTCAGATGGCAGGACAACTGATGGACAAGGTGCAGGTGGAGCAGCGGGGACCAACTCAGAATACCTTGCCTTTGTTCTGGTGCCTGTTTTCTTTCTCTTGGGGCTTACTGGGGTGGTGATCTGCCACATTTTGAAAAAGAAAGGCTACCGGTGCACCACAGAGGCCCAGGACCTCGGTGACGAGGAGGTTTTTGAAGAACAGAAGGATCCTGAACTGGGTGGAGGTAAGAAGATTTGAGTAAACAAAGGTGGCAGTTGAAGACTTAATGTCTTCATTAAGTCTATGAATTATTGCTCAACCAGGCTTATAGTAATCCAGTTTTATGGAGAAGAGATTAGTATTGGTGGGAACTTGGCTCAGTTTCCCCCCGTCCCTACCGCTTAGCCCTACTCCCACGTTTTGCGTGTTCACATGTAGTGGGATGGGTGTCCTGATTCTCTTTAGAATGTAGGGGTAGAGTGAAATGGTAGGGCTACACAGGCCTTCAAAGGGACAGTTTTCAGAGGTAGTCATAGTACTTGGACTCTCAAAGTATTACTCCTGATCAGGAACTCTTTTTGGGGGTAGAACTATGCCCCCAGAGCTAAATCTAAACACTGGCTGCTCAGGTGAAAGTGCAGGTAGAGAACTAGGTTCTGCAGAAGGTTCCTGTTCCCTACAGGGCTAAAGCATGTCATTTTTATAAAGAACTTTGTCATAATTGCAGCCACAATTAAAATTGATGCCAACTTTGGTGATTAATAAATGCATTGTATTTCCTTTAGTTTCTTCACAATAAAACCAACCTTGTTTTGCCCATTAAATGTGAAGCAGTAGGAAATGTTCAGTTTGCATTTGCAGGAACTTAGTGGTTTCACTTTCATGTATTACACATTTTCACCTCGTCTGACAGCTCACACAAGTGCCAGTCGAGTCAAACATCTACAGGTACATTATCAAGCTAAAGTCTCGGACTGTGATACCATACCATACCATACTGTGATACTGCTTTTCAGTGAGTGGAAAAGTAAATGCTGGTTTGTAAATTAGTCATTGGTCTGCTTAGGGTTTTACTGTCATACGATGGTGTCAAGGTCAGAAATCATGCGGTAAAATGATCTTGATGCGCTTATTTGGTACTATCGGGTTTGTATGACTCTATTGACTTGGTATGAGTCAGATATTGAACATGCGTATAGATGAGTCAACTTGGTTGGTTGTTTGCCAAAAAGCAGTAGCTATCACTTTCTCTTTGTTAAACAAAATTAAAAATGCGAACACATATTTAAGGGACATGTATTTTATGTGCCATTAATTAAGAAGTGGTGTTTAGTGTTTGCACTGATGGATTCTTAAGAAAAACCTATGAAACTACAGTCAAAAGCTCAAAAATGCCATTAATTTCAGTGAATTTAAATTGCACTGTGCTGATTTTAACCACTTTACTGTAAAGTCACTGTCTTATCTTAATTATATTCTTCTATTGAGAGAGAAGGCCTTTGTCTTTTTAATGAATGGAGGCCAGTAGAAACCAGGAATGTGTTTGGCATTCACGCCACTTATGTTCCGAATTAACTAGGGGTGTGCTGAGTGTGGTGAACCAAAAAATAAATCTGCACAGGCTGAGTTTAATTTCCTTTTTAATTTACAGATGCAGATAATGCTTAATTGTTTTAGACTTTGTGATGTAGACTTTTCAGGCCTCAGAGTTTAGTCGAAGCTAAACTCTGAGGCCTGAAGTTTACCCCCCTGCTCTACTAGTGCAGTGCGTGGCAGTGACACACAGACTATTGGAGTTGGTCCCTTTCTCTGTCCTCCTGCTAATTCTCATGTGCAGATGTGAAACCTCTGGTATCACGGGTTTGCTGACGTACAGCATATCACAGGCATGAGGAATGTTATGGAAAGAATGAACTGTTGACTCCCCAGAAATCAGTGGGAGTCTGTGCTCTCTGCCTTTCTTGTGCATCTGACATACAACCGTTTTCCTTCTGAAGTATCACCTTGCCACTGTTTCCCGTTCTTCTGTGAAATCATGTTATTACTGTCGCAGTTGTAAAGTCTGACAAGCTACCAGAATAGGGTAGGTATCAAGCTTGTTTCTAAACCTGAGCTCCTTGCCAGCAGGGCATTGTGTTCATTCCCCGTACTCTGTGGGTTTCTGCGAATGTTTTGTCAAGCAGCCCTGCCCTGTCTCTGTCATAAATTGAAACAATCAAGTGAGGCGTAAATGGAACCTGTTTTGTCCTCATATTCACTTGATCCAGTCTGGCAGTTTCACCATGATCAGGTTTCCTGTTTGCTTTCTTTGTCCTTCTGCTTTTTGTCACTTTGTGGTGGTTATTAGCTGCAAGAAGATCCCTTTACATTGTCACTGTTTAAAATCAGCCATGACTTACCGGAGGATTTGCGTAAATTGCTGAAAAAGTCTAAGGTTTATTAGAAGCGAGGAAAAGCGCAGGAACAGGAAACGGTAGGAAGTACTTCACAAGGGGTGTGTGTGCAGTGGAAGGGCTCATTCAAGTTTCTGCTTGGTGCCCTGCCATGAGGGAAGATTGTTTGGTTTCACATTTTTGATTTGTGCACACATGGGTAAATGTTAATAAAATAAAATACCACCGTATTTCTCTCTCAGTACATTGATGCTGATAGTTCAGCTATATTTGAGATAAAAATTGATGAAATGACAGACATGCACATAAGAAATGATGTATGATGATCAAACAGGAAGAGCCATTTTTTTATCACGCTGTCAGAATAGCCTCAGACTGTGTTCCGGCAGTGTTAACCAAACCTTCAACCAAACCTGCATTAATGAATATTTTTATATTAACAATCAGTGTAATTGCCGAGCTTTAATCTCTCAGTGATTATAGCTGAACAAAATGCTCCATGAGCCTGTGTGTGTTTCTGTTGTAACTAATAAACTGCATTGTTGATCCAGGAGTAATATTAGCAAGTGCTCTTAAATTATGATTTATGGGTGTCTTGTTTAGCACTGAGGAGGTAAAAGGGCTCCGACTGTTGACGCACTTAGGCCATGCCTGCAGAATGTTGTCGCTCTCCTATGAAAGCATTTACACACACGTTTGTAGGTGGTATTGTGTGCCCTACCTGTTATCATTGTACATTTACCTCTCATGTTACACTGCTGTGTGTAAAGCTCCAGTTTAATGGTGAGTGACTAGTCAAAGCTGCATCAGGGTACTATGATCTTGAATAGCTATAAGACACTAATGTATGTGTTTTTGTTTGTCTCCTTGTTGTTCCAGAGCTGAATGACACCCTCAGTGACAACAATGACACAGTCGGACAGATTGTCCATTACATCATGAACAACCAAGGTATGTGTCAGACGTGCCAAATGATGAGCACAAATAAAGCCAACTTTACCACCACCTCTATAAACCTAATGGTGCCGACAGGCTGGAATTCACTTCTTATTCGTGTGTATGTGTGAATGGGGCAAGGTACATTCACTACCAGTCGCAAATGGACAGGTTCAGTGTGAAAACTCAAGGCTCTGCAGTGTCCAGACTGTTTTGGGGCTGGAGGGGGTCAGTAATGTCAGCTTCTGTTCTTCTCATTGGAGCAGGAAGGATCCTTTTTGTTTGTGGTCTGTGTCAGGACAGTGATGTTTGAGTGAAACACTGTTTAATTTACAACTTTTGAGGACTGCAGCGGTTAGTCTGCTAGCCATGCTAGCTCCTGAAGGTTGCAGCCCTACCTGCAGTGTTTCCTTTCTTCTCCTGATTTTGACTGTGTCAGTAAATTCTGCCAGAATTTTAGTGCGACTGCATCATAAATGTTAATTACTCAGTATACTTCCCCGTCTGTTTTAAGAAACAAGCATGTTTATGACCATGAGGAGGCTCTGGATGCATTTCAACACAGCAACATTTCAGTTTCCCCACATTTCAAATCAAATTTTATTTGTATAGCACATTTACAACAACTAAGTTATGCCAAAGTGCTCCACAGTTGTGGAAGGAAAAAAAAATATGTATAAACAACATAAAACATCAAATCACAGAATGCTGATTAAAGCTTCAAACAGAATATAAAACCCACAATGTAATAACTAAATAAAAACAAGAGAAGCATCTGATCCAAGGCAAATGCCAGCGTAAGTAAATGGTCTTGAGTAAAGCTTTAAAAGACCCCAAATCTGAAGCTCATCTGATGTTCATGGGCAGATCATTCCACATCTTGGGGAGTTTCGTTATCAAATGCAGGGACACCCCAGCATCTAGTCTTAGACCTGGGACCTGCAGCGTGTTCTTCATGAAGAATAATCGGAGTCAACTATCACCTTTCAAACATTTATTATCATAACTGAACAGACCTTCGAATAAAGCAATTTACAGAGCTCTGGGTTCCATCTCTATCTGAAGCCCTAACCTCAACAGCAAAACCGTTCAATTCGTCTTCAGGACGAGAAGGAACGCCTACCCTCCTGAAACCCAGTTACTTATACAATTTGAAATGTGCAATTGTAGGCTGGTCTGGTCCTCTCGTGTTGCTCCATTGGTCCATCTATCCATCCGTCCCCCTCCTGCGTCCTTCCTCCTCCAATGGGAAAGGCAGCTTCCTAAAGAGGGAGGAAATCCTACTCTGTCTAAAGTCCTACACTCACTTCTTTCTTTGTTTCCAACTAACTAACTACACTCTATAAAACATGGCTTTCCATTTGGCTACTTAAACTATCTTGCCGGTGTGTGTCTGTATATGGCCCTGCCCTTGAAGGTGTCTTTTTCTTCCTGGCCTCAGATCTAATCTCTGTTTCAACTATCCTAGAAACCCCAATATACTCTAGCTCCCCCGTCCCATCACCCAGGTGGTGGTAATAAAACAACTGTAGACCCTCTTTGCCAAAGCTATTAACCTTAAAATTCAGTGTTTTAATGACCCAGTCTCCCTTGATGTTAAACAGTACCCCAGTTGGCTAACACAGTAAATACTGGCCAAGAATTCAGTGAACACATAGAATGATATACTCAACTAACTATGTTAACATAATTGTAACATACAAGTAAGCAAACTTATGCATGCTCTAAACTAAATACTAATTATTCATTTTCTTAATATGATAAAATAATCATACGCACACAAAGTAAACAAACAAGTTAACTAATCAACAAACATAGTGTCAATCTTCTACTAACTAAGTTCTTAATTCAGTCTAATATTAAAACTACTCCTAATGTATTACTTTGTTAACAATTTTACTCAACAGACCCTCTAGCAGTAGCCGGTCTGATGTTCTTGGTGATCTTTCTGGTTTATACTGTGTTCAAAGCTCAGAAAGGTAAATAGGTGCCAATCCAGTTAACACTTTATAAAAAGACAGCAGTATTTTAAGATCAGTCCAATAATGGACTGGAAGACCGTGCAAGGGTGAAAGAGCTGGTGTAATATGCTCATGTTTACATGTGCCTGTTAAAAGACGAGCAGCTGCATCCTGTACCATTTGCAGGTGTGCCAGTTTGGTTTATGCCAATGTACAGAGCATTTCAATAATCCAACAATGAACTGGGGAATGCATGAACCACCTTTTCAAAATCTTTAAATGAGAGAAATGGTTTTATTTTAGACAAGTCTTAACTGGAACAGAAGGCCTTAACAGAACACAGAAGGACTTTGAACGTGGGGGAGGGGGGCCTTGACCAAGTCTTTTCTCTTAGGTCAGTACAGCTGGAACCTCGTTGTTGTTGTAGCATTGTCACACACTGTTCAGGAAGGATGTGTTTCCGTGTAGCGTAGCAGATTGGAGTCTTCTCAGAGCAGTTCAGATCAGGAATGATGAGCCTGGTGGAGGGTTAGTCATCAGGACAAACTGGCCACAGTGGAGGATTTTGAAGGGAAATTGTGTGACTGGTTTACATAACGCGACTGGTTGCATCACTGTTTCCTATCTGAACAGGAGCGCTTTGCTTCTATTTGACTGCCTTGTTCCTGTAAAGTGAATTGTGACATTACTAACAATATAATCACAGCACTCTTCATTTTTTTGTTCAGACTGAAGAGATTAGGATCATTGTTTCAAATTGAATCAGCGTGCTTTGTTTGAATACATTTCCTGGCTGTGTAGATTAGTGCTTCCCTTAGAGACAACCGCAGTATTTGTAGTTATGTAACTTGGTGTAAAGGAAGAATTCTAGTTTAACTTGAATACTATGTGTTTAAGAAATGATTACAAGATGTTATGATCCTGCAAAAACCTTTTGCTGCTACAAAATGGATAAACTACAGCAGTTGTCTACCTCAGTGAGGCAGAATCAATATTTTGAAGTCTGCTTATGTGTGAGAATTCACCTCTGCAGCTGATTTGACTGATATGGTGGCTAATCCGGATGACTAACATCTGACACGAGGGCAGTGTTGTCCCATCATGGCTGCTGTTGATCTTTCTGACCTTCCTCACAAGGCGAGCTCTGAACTGACTCATCACTGTGTGTAGAGTTGGAGTCCACAAACCGTGACTCACAGCCAGTGCCACCCTGGAGACATGAGCTAGTTCAGGCTTCATACTATGAATCTATTCACTATATGTAAGTGTCCGTTTCACTTCTGCATCCACGACTGTATTGTTTTGAGCTTGCTCTAACTACCTTTCATGGAAAGAAGTCTCTGGGACCCAGGAAGTGAACTGTGCATTTTGCTTTTGTCTCAGCAGCAGGAACAGTGCTCTCTGTATAAATAAACAGAAGCACCCTGGCATGAGCATAAATAGCAGTAGCAGTCTTTATGGCTGAGTCAAGACTGCCATCTACAGATAATCACAATGTAAAGATGTCATCCTGCTTCTGTGCACTCTTGTAATTCACAGTTTGGAAAAGAGGGAGAAGATGCTTCTATATACACAACGCATTGTACTGTGACTTGGCATGTGGTGTAAGCCACAGCTCTGAGGCAGCAACTTCACACTTGTAGACTGAAAGAACTTCTCTACATGTGGTAAACTAAATACTGGCTAGAAAGTCAAATGGGTGGCACATTACAAAAACAAATCTTTTAAAACAAGAGTGAGTGTTGATTTTCTTAAGTCTTCACTTGTTCTACCTACTATAGTTCCTCATGATGGCTTTAATTATATAATTTTCTTTTTCTGATATTCTTTATATTTGTTCATCCAGTGCCTCTGAGCTCAGAGGGTAGCCCTGTGCAAATAAAAGCACTAAAGCAAAAGCAAGTCCATAATACCTAAGGACTAAAAGTAGTTGCGGTCTCCACGGATGATGTCTTGTAGAACCCCCTGCAGGGCCTGATGATATGAGGATGTTTGAATCAGATGTTTACATGGTTTCCTAACATGAAACTCTTACTTTCACCTATATTCTGCCTCCGTGCAGTTCAGTGCTTCTCATTTTTTCCCAAAAGTATGCACAGATCCCTTTATCTATGGACACAGTATGCTCCTGGTGCAGTCGGTGAACGCGTCAGGGTCAGGCCTTAGGGAAATCTGTCTCTGGGAGCAAATTATGCAAATCTGTACCTAAGCTGTTGCCTCTGTTATTACTTTGTATGGGAGCTCAGTTGGTAGTTGTTCTTGTGCACTTTATGAAATTCAAGCTTTTATTTCCCAGCTTGACCATTATACAGAAATTAAACTTATTAAAACTGCTCCAACTTTTTTTTTTCTGGTCTGACACACTCCCCATGGGATGTTGTGCACGGTAACAGTGTTTTCCTTGCTAATTTGCAAAAAAACCTTTAATCTCTTCTCTCCCATCTGCACAGTCATGTAACTTTGTCTCTCTTCTTCTTCAGCAAACTCGGATGCCCTGAAAGCCATGATTCATGACAACAGCATCGATTCTGAAGTGTAAGTGTTCTCTCACTTTGCTGTGGAAAAACTATCAAGTTCCTCCAAATCCATCTGTTAATAAAAAGGCGTTTGGCCTGTTTATACAGCTGCTCTTAAATTGAGCAACTGTATAAACAGCTTGAACCACCAGATGGCACCATAGGCCTCTGTGAAGTCCAGCTGGTGTCAGTAGCTTGGCCAGGAAATGAACAGTCAAGCCAATCGGGCCACATTTGTCTTCTGATGTTTTCCAGATTGGCATGGTTTGATTGCGGCCAGGCAGCTGGGGGCTATTCATGAAACGCCACCCTGCCCCATATCTCTGTATTGTGGGAGTCTTAACACACATTGAGCGCTGTTGTTGGCGGTGTTTCCTTACTGGAGTCTGAGCCAGAGTACGTTTAGTTATTTTAAAAAGGGAGAACAGGATAACACGGTGTAAATATTTATACTGCTGTGGTTTTACACCTACACTAGCCTAAATTAAGTCATTTATTTTTTACTAGCATCAAGTACATATTCAGGAGTTCTCTACAAGTTTGTCACTTTAAAAATGGGCAGCTGGAGACTGGGTTTTCAGCCAACTCATAGGGTTGGAGCTTATTTGCTAGCTAGTTACTGCTGACAGTCTGTTAGCAATCGCCCACAAAATTGACCGCTGCCATCTAGAAATGAGAAACCTACTTTGGTCTGCCTGTCTATGAGACAGATTGTCAGCGCTGTGCTGGATAAGTGTAGCTACAGCGCTGTTAGCTGCAGCTCTAGCCTGCATCTGATGACCATGATCCTTTTTAATAGCATAAAATCTATAGGCCTTCAAATGGATATCAGTGGGTCATTCACATTGACACATCTCAACTCAAAGACTGCCCGCTTGTCGCTTTGAAATGACCATGCATCATAAGAACAGGAGCTGATGGTTCGAGCTGACATTAGGCATCTTCACTCTTCATATACCGTTCATCCATACAGAAAGACAAGCAGAGTCAATGAGCAAGTGTAGTGCTCCTTAGATAAGGGGAGAGGGGGTTGGACAGACAGGAGGAGGAGGTGCCTGTGACAGTAGAAGAGTCCAAGTAAATCGAGTTAGAGGAGTATTTTCCCCCTCCCTCTCCTCCTGTCATCTTTCTTGGCCTGCTACATATTGTTCTGGGAGGAAAAGAAGAAGAGAGAGGAGAGCTCTTCTCTGCTGTGGGGAAGAAACGGTGTGGATAAATGGTGGCACTGTTGCCTCTGCCAGGGATTAGGTATTGAGGTATTCTGCTCAGTCACATTGGGTATCCTGGAAAAAAATCTGTAGGAGTTTGCAGCTGCACACATTTCCCCAGTGTCATGTTCATGTGTTTTGCTCTCCAGATCTTTTTTCCCCCACATAGTTCAGCCCCTCGTTTTCTCTTCTGATTCCCTTCATAGTTTTTTCATTCTATAGTACTCCCTCTTTCTTTTCATCTCTTTCTCTGCCAGGTTGGGCGGCCTGCCAGTGGATCACTTAGAGATGGGGGAGTGAGGGGGGAAGAGGTGTATCGATGGGGGTTATTTATGGGACACTTAGGGGCCAGGAAGGCAGAAAGAGGAGGAGAATAGAGCAGAGAGGGACGGAGAGAGGCTACAAAGAGGCTGGTGACTGTAGCGTGGCCAGGCTCGCTATCTACCTCTCCAGATTTGGTACTTAATTTCCCGCTCTGCTCACTGCTGCTCTTTCCCCATCACTACTCCAGCCCCCACCCTCAAATCACACCAGTTTATCTCTTATCTCTTTTATTCCCTTCCCTGGCCATCGGGGAAGTCGCACTGTACATGTGCAGAATGTTTTTTTTTTTTAAGTAATTTTAGTCATCTAGCTACAGTCTCCACTATCTGTTCATGATTTGAACTACATCCCTGTGTGCCATTTAAGGAAGCCTTAATGTTACCGTATACACTGTTTAAAACCAGTGGTATGTTTCCACTGGAAAGCTTCTGGTCCTTTTTGTTTCTAGGAACTTAAGTCAAAGAACTGTCCCTGGGGTAAAAGCCCCATTGTGGTTTGGATTTTCACAGCAGAGCCAAAGTCCTGGGAAGGTTAAATAAACTGCACACTGACATAAAAGTGCGACTGCAGCAGGCTGTTTTGTATAAAATGCTGCGCAGTGTTTGACCAATCAGTGACAGCTTCATCCTGATAGTTCTTGGACCTTCAGAAAGTACTGTCCCCAACTAGGGACTTCAGGAGGTAGAACTATGCCCTGGAACAAAATTTACTGGTGGAAATGCAGGTAGAGGAGCTAGTCCCTAGAACTGTTGGGTCCAAAAGCACCTCAAGTTCCATAAAAGGTTCCTGTTACCCAGGGAAAATTCTTTTGGTGGTAACGGGGCTAAAGTTGGTGCCAAGGTACCCTGAGGGGTCCCTCTTCAAGAGGAGTCCAGACTAACTGGCTGACTTCCAGTACAGTGAAAGCCAGTTGGCCTGTGGCTGTTTGAGACTGTTGTTCCCATCATACCTGTGCGAGTTCGCTTTCTCCACTTGTGTACACGAAAAACACAACCCGGACTCGTATGGCAGTTGCCTTTGTGTTCGCTTTGATTTCTGCCCACATCGAGAGACAACAGCAGGCTCATATGTCCCATTACGATCCCTGCAATCTGCGTACAGGCAGTGTTTTTTCTGGTAAACCTAAATGTGAGCTAATTTTACTTTTGAGGTTTTAGACAATAGTGTAATTCCATCTTTGTGACCTCAAATTCTGTGGAAAGCTTGAAATTCAAAGAATTGAGGTTTTTGTAGGATCACATGGCTTTGGAGTAGCGTGTTCAGCTATCAAATGAGGGTGTCCACATACTTTTGCCATATATTGTATCTTAGCCTTCATTTTTCTCCTAGTCCAGTGTATTGTATATCCATTTCTCAGTACCTCTCAACACAGACTGTTGCTCTGTGTAGTGGCTCCCTTCAGTTTCTGTCTTAAGCTGTCTCAGCTTAGGTTGCCTCATTATTTTGCCTCTGAATTGACATTTCAAATTCTTACAGGTCTGCTACACCCACGGGAAGAGGACTGTTTACCGTGTTGGCATTGCCATTTTTACTGGATCAGTCTAAACGCTCGCTTACTTACAAATCCACTGAGTTAAAGTAGTTTGACTTTCTAGATAACAGTCCAAATTCAATGATCCAAAAGTTTGCATTCAAAAAAGGGCCATGCAGAGCCAAACCAATTGCAAAGCAAGTTTCTCAACTGCTGAGAGGCGTTTTTACATCAGACTTCTCTCTTGCACCTCTAGGAGGTGCACTTTCCCATGAACTACCAACATAAAATCAAAGATTTGAATTACACAGGGTATGAACACAGTTGCCTTATGTTTTAGAGCAAAACTATTCACCACTATTTACTAGTTGTATTAAGGAATTAGTCATCTGTACCAAACTGCAATGTGTTAACATTTGGCTCTAACGCTCAGTATGCTGCCTGTCTCCTGACACATATGCACGTGAATACATAATTGTAGTACAGAGAAGATGAGGTTCATGTCAGTGTGTTTGAATTTTGGGTAAATGTACCATGTTTGGAGCATCTTGCTCATCATAGATATACATTACATACCACCAGTTAATAAAAGATAAATGATATCCCATACAGCTACAGTAGTGGATGCATCATCTACATCCAAACGTCCACTTCAGTAGTGGACAGATTTATTCATCGTTAGTGTTTGTGTTATCTGCCAAAAGCTGTTAGCTAGCGTTAGCTCCCGAGACCTCTGATCAGTGTTGAGTCATTTGTATTATCTCAAGGTCCTACGACGAGTTAGCTACAGTCAGCTAAGGTTATCCAGTTTGAATTGCCAGTCAGTAAAGTGAAATTTGAATGATTTAAGAAGCTTTGTAGGCAAACAAAATGTATGCAGGTAAAAAAAAATGACACCCCCTCGCCCCAACATTCAACCCATCATGATGTACCTTAACATTCTCTATATGTCCATGAGTAGAAACGGTTTCTTTCGGCTTCTGTGTGTAAACTATGTGAAGAGCCGTTCTCTGGGGTCACTCTGGTTGAGCTCCTCTCAAAGATGAGAGCAAACGGACTAGTCAGCTGGCCTCAGTTAGTGTCTGGTAGTAACACTGTATGAAAGTGGAGCGTGTTGTGATACCTCGTCTGTCACTCTGCTCTATATTGTCTCATCTGTAATTCTCTACTGATCAGATGTCCGACACCTCAGCTGGCGCCTGTTCCACACTGGAAATTGCTTCAAACATAATTGCCGTTTGGAGCAATTGTTCTCAGAGCTTGTCAGTAATTGTTTTTGCCCCGTTGAAGTTTGAAATATTAATGTGTCATTTCCGCAGCGCTGTGTTATGATGAAAGAGGCGCTGCAGAAATTCTCTCTGTAAAACACAAATGCTTCAGAGTGAATGTAGGTCACTTCTCATAGCTGACAGCTGGTCTCTTCAAAAAACAGCTTTCGTTTAGTTAAATCTATTGATGTTGTAACAGATGCGGTCCTGTAAAAGATTTCTTGTTTCTTTTCTGTTTTTGCTGCACAATTATTTCTCAGGCTAATTTAGAGTCGCAATAGTAGGTCTTAGTAATTCAGCAGCAACCCTGATTACACTCGTATCATAATGTATAATTGTGTACTATAGTGTATGATGTAATGATAATGGTGTCGCTACCGAAGCAGAAGGGTTTAACTTGTGCTTCGACAATAAAACCGATCACTAACTTTAGATTCTTCAGGTCTCCTGTTACCCCCAACACCCCCGGCACTCCGACCAGTCCTGTGGCTCCCATATCACCAGGTGCACCCCCAGGAGCCCCCAAACACACCTGCAACCACCTGCACACCATCGGAGACCCGGCCAGCCACAGAGACATCTGCACCCGCTGTAGCCAGAAGAAATGGCCACTCATAAGGAAGCCGTTGGCACATAAACCGGAGGCGCGCCGTAGCCACCAAGGAGAGGTCACAGTCCTCGCTGTGGGCAGGTGTGTTTCTGTCAAGGCGAGCTTGTCGCTGCTGTACACAGGTTCTTTTTAATCCCCACAATTTCTTAGAATCATGCCACATAAGGTGATTCAATTAGAAGAAGTAAATTAAAATGTAAACAGTTTTCCCCCAGAGGTGTATCAAACATTAACTCTGAACAATAACCACTGAAACATCCACACTTAATTACTACAGGTTAGGTTTTCTGTGCACTTTGACACCAGGCTAGTGAGCCGGAACATACACAGGTCAGGATGAAGCCTGGGAAAATGGAAGCTGCAGGGTCCAGAGTAGACCCGAGTGGAGTGTGTGTGTGTGTGTGTGTGTGTTGGGGGGGCGGGGGGCAAACAGTGGTTCTCTAAAAGCTCATGGCAACAGACGTCGTCTGTGTAGTAGCATCTCCTGTTTTGTTTTTTTTGTAACTCAAGAGCGACTTGGACTCCTCCAGTGTTTGTACCTGTTAATATCTGTCACAGTTCATGTAACTGGTAACTCTGTTTACAGTACAGAGAACAGTTTTAGTCCACTAGTGAACCCAGTAAAGGTTGCAGCCTCGTCCCAGTCGTGCTGCTAGCTGATTGGGATGCAGAGGTTGCTTTTCATTTGCACACCCAGATGAATGGCCATGTATGCAAAGGGTCAGCATGACCGGGATATGAATATTAATTTGCTCATTTAATTAAAGCTTTGAAGTGTGTGTGTGTGTGTGTGTGTGTGTGTGTGAGCTGAAGTTCAGGTGAGAGTCATAAGGAGTGTGTGTTATCAGTGACAAGAGATAGAAGCAGATTCCAGCTGTTGACAAACTGAAAAAAGGAACAGTTTGTCTGCTAAGTTGTGACCTAGAAAAATAATACTCATTGGGATCCTTTTTAAAAGCTTTGAAAGAGTTTCTGGCCGGATCAGCCAGTGCTGTGTCCCCACATATGAGCAGATGTTTGCTTTAATGATCCAACTCTGCAGCACAAACATTCAGAAACCTTGTGCTGTGTGTTAGTGATTTCTTTTTTTTTTTTTGTTTGTTTCTTCTCAGGTTCCGGGTGACAAAGTGTGTACAACCAACCAGGGAGAGGCGAGCTCTGCTAATAACAGACTCCAACAGGAGCATCCCAACATCACCCGCAGACGTGGAGCCCAAGAGCCGGACCACTTCAGAGTCCCAGCAGGTCTCTATCCTGGAAACTCTCTTCTTTGCCTCCCTCTGGTCTCTTTCCCGCTGTGTATAAATGGGTGTTGCTTATGTGCGTACAGCTCCACAGCTGCTCTGTGCTTTTTTTCTTTCTCTCGTCATGTTAATGTGCACATTCGCAGCACTCTGACATTATTCCCAGTTTTAAACTGTTATACATCTCAAAAACTAGACAATGATGTGGCTTGGTTTTTCTATATTTTATGATCTCATTGAAACATTAAGTTAGAGTAAATTATCAAGTAGTTGATCTACAGGAACTGAACAAGGAGTCTGTTTTTGAAGCAAAAATACTAAATGGCCATAAGTTCTAGTTTCTGGTTGAGGATTTTATGATTTACAGTGTGATATGACAGTGGACATGACTGCTGGTTGCTTAAATAAAGCACCATGAAGATGTAAACGCAGGAAAATTAGAAATGGCTTGTTAAAAAAATGATTTCCTGACATTTTTTAGATAATATCACCAGCATTATCCATTAACTTAAAGCACTGGTGTCGCATTTAAATGTGATGCAACTTCCTGAAGCTCTTTTAAATACCTCATGTGGGATCATAAGAAATCACCCTGGGTTCTGTTACAGTTTGATGCCTAGTTATCCTAAAATTCCTGAGCAGAGCCTGTAATATGAGGGATTAGTGTCTTATCTTCAGACTTTGGAGCGAGCCGGTTTCACCAGGTTTCACTGAATCAGTGTCACGAGCAAATTTGTTTTGGGGTGGAGAGACATTACACTCGTGTTTCCATTCAGAGCTGTTTAACACATTTAAGATCCGTGTTTGTCATTTCATGCTATTGACTTTTAGCTTTCTTTTATTGACTGTGGGAGGGAGAAAGATGCATTCATCCCAAGAAAATAAACAAAACTGCGCAACAGAACAGTCTTTCTCTTTCATTTCTGTGCTATAACAAGATGACTGTCTTCCTGCCAGGTGCAGACAGACAACTTGGCTAAAGAGAAGTGATAGGAATCCAGGTAACATGTTATAAATAACTATTTGCATATCTCAATTCCTTGGATACATTTGTGTCTCACTACATTTATGCCCTAACTTTACAGGGAGGAGAGAAGCAGGAACAGCTGGGTCGACCTGAGAATCTTTCTCACTCCACAGGGAGGAAGATGTGTTGCTGATGAAGATGACGGTGTGTTTTTAGGAGGAGGTAAGGTGTGTCTACTAAAGATACACTCCATCTCCTCCATCAATAGATGTACAGCAGTGCCTTGGCTCAAGGGCTTATAAGCAGGGCGCTCACTTGACGTCAAGGAAGCCTTAACCAGGACTCTGCCAACAAACTGAACAAAGGTTTTCTTACTCAACATGCCGATGCGGTCTGTGATGTATTTACATATGCAGGGACTAATGGGTGTCTGCATGTCATCAGTTTAATTTATTAAACCACACCCCCAGAAACGGGTCCAGTGGGTCTAAGATAAAGATGTAGGTCATTCCCAAACAGGAAGAAGGAACAACCTGATATAGCAGCCACAGATCCAGGAAAAGACTGGAGCGCTAGTAGATGTGATAATAGGAAAGTAACTCTAATCATATCCTGTAACAGTAGGAGCATAATGTCAAAGTGTTCCTGTCATCAGAATGACTAAGCATCCTTATAGTGCACACTGTAAAGTGACCTCTAATAAGGAAGAACAGGCACTTTTTGGGGTCAAACAACAAATGAGCTCTAATATTCAGACACGGGCTGCTCACTGGATGTTTCTGTTAAAGCCGTATGTGACAGTGCTACAGCCAACCTTAAAGCTGCATTATTTATTTTTGTTTTTGGCACAGAAAGCTGTAAATATGTTGACATAGGCTGCTATTGTTTACAGAAACTTGTCACTGCATTATTTTTATTTTCACCTGCTGCATCCGAGTCCAGTATTCCCTCTTTTGTTTTTTGTTTTTTTTGCTCTGTGGAGCTGAGGGGAGCTGCTGCAGAGGAACAGTCTGGGTTAGTCACAACAGACGAGCCCTTATATGCTACACATCATTTAACCGGTTGATACACGTATTGACAAGTACAGCTTTAATTAGTGACACTTAATGTAGACATTTAGACTGGAATTATATGTGCTCAAATGTTACCTTGATGCAAAATAGATCATTATACAGGGATATTGGTATATTGGCTTAGACATGGGACATCGAAAACTAATTTTCACTTAAGAATTATTCACACATATTCAAGGGAAAAAGGCAAATATTTTGATTTAATGAAGCTCAAAGCAAATTGCTGTAATGGGTTTAAATCACCCTTGTCAAGTCCCTTCATGTGTTTAAGCCAAATGAAGCTACTTATTTTAACTCTGCCTGGATTTATCCTATTTTACCATGAGCACTCTACTTATCATTGTACCAAAGGTTCATGAGCAGATATTGTACAAATGACTTAATTCGTTACAGATTTTCAGCTGCTCCACCAGGATGTAAACCTTTTCTCTAATGAAATGTGCCTTTCGTGTGTCTACTTGTGTGGGTCTGTTGCAGTGAAGAGTGGACAACATGTGCTGTCATCCATTGAATGAATACAGACTCGGTAATCATTTGTTTTGGAAGAATTAGGTATGAATAAAAGGTAAAAGTCATGTTCATGTTGAACCTCGCTTCTAAAGTACTGTGGTCTGACTTTAAACTTTGTGTGTGTATATCACATGTGGGTGCTGTGTCCTCATGCAAAACAATATTTCTAATTCCTCATTTGATTTTAAAGGAACATTCCAGTATTTTTCAGTCTTATTATTTGTGGCCATTCAGACTATAGCCATGCCAACTTTGAACTTGCCCCCTTTATTACAGGGAACGCACTGGGACGAGCAGCGTGAACCTCCTAAAGCTTTCCAAATAAAGCTTCTGGCAATGTCAGTCGTACTAATCACATTAGTTTACAGGTAATTGTTAGCTAGCTAGCTAGCTAGCTAAACTGTTATTGTTGTTTACAGGTAATTGTTAGCTAGCTAGCTAAACTGTTATTGTTAATGTTGTGAGTGTTATTATGCCTAACACTCTGGACGATACTCTGGAAGAAATAGATCAGTCCTTTTGACAGAGAGAAAATGTAATTGAATCCAAATCCGCATGAATTGTGTGCTAACATTGCTAGTTGTAAGAGTCTACCTCTTTTGCAACATCAGGGTAGGATGAAGCAGGAGAGGAAATTCAAAGCTTGAAGGGGAACTCCACTAGCTTCACACAGGTCAGTTTAGTAGAGGACAGTTCAGCCTGTGGTACCGTACGTCTTCTGGATACAAGCCTGATGATGTCATCTGGGTTATCCTGAGGGTTTTGAGACCACACATTTCTAACAGAAAACCTGCTTTACAAAGTGGTAGAGTTAGAGAAGATGTGTGTTTACCAGGCAGGCGATTTCTAACAGAAAACCTGCTTTACAAATTATAGTGGTAGAGTTTGAAAGATGTGTGTTTACCAGGCAGGCAGTGAAATGACAAGATGCATTAGTTGCATTGTGGGAAATGTAGGATTCACTTTTTAAAACCTGCAACTTTGTGAGTGTGATGCTAAATTGAATGAGTATCCTTTTTAAAAGCTTTTTGCGATGAGTTCTAAATCTGCCATGTCATTTTTCTACATTGTTTTTATCCAAATGCATAATTTTAGTTTTGTTTCATATTTGGGAATATTCATTGTGCCTCATTTTAAAAAAAAGTCTTTTCATATTTTGAAACCATTTGCTGTGTTTTTATTGTATAATGTAAAAATAAAACAAATAAAGACTAATACATATCAAACTAAATTCAATTTAATCGTTCGCTTTATTCATTGAAGTACATTAGTGATGCACTGAGCTGCAGTCTAACATGCTTTGCTTTCCTCCCTCACCTAACTGCATCATCCATCTTCCTCTTCTCTTCTTTCTCATTTCCTTCTTTCCTCTGCACCCCTTCTCTCCCTTTTTGTGCCATAATGAAAAGATGATTTGTCGTCTTCATCTCAAGTAGGCAGCCCGACGACCTCCGGCTCTCGATCATATTATTTCCAGATAATGGAGATGAGATTGAGAGCTGTTTTGAGCCGATGCAGAAGACCGGGGATTAACAACCCTTGACTTTTTGTCTCCTCATGACCTTCAGGGTCTTGTCACCTGTGCAATGCCGTGCTTCAGCTGAACATCACAAGGTTTTAGTTTGAGTTACAAGTTTCTGACCTTAACCACAGTATAGACATCTCTTAATTGAGGTTATTACTTCAGTAAATTATTCACACGCCTAAACACTGAACAGCAAGTATGTGATTAAAGGCCTCTGAGTGACACGCCGCTGCCGCTGGTGTCACTTGACAGTGCTGGAGGGAGGACTGACTTTTCAAAGTGTTGACAGAGATAGAGCACGTTTACCGTACAGGGAGCACAGAAGAAACCTTGATAGCAAACAAAACGCTGACATCACACCAACGGCTCTAAACAAACCTGCCTTTCATACAGGGCTGTTGGAAAGATGCAGCTGACAGTGCAGTACAAGGACCTGGTGCAAATATTGACTCTTGTGTTTTATCTTTTACTGGGACAAAAATAAAGGTTGTCACCGGTTTTCTCATACTAGATTAAAACTAGTAAAACTTGAGGACTTGGGTATGCACATAAAAATGGTAAATATAATAAAGCTCTGTCTCCTTTGCATGGCTTCATAAGCAGTAAATTTATCTCAGGCACTGAATTATTCAAGCCTCCCGGCAATAGGGTCCTCACGCCAATGACAGGCTAGGTGTCCTACATGTTATGTTTGTCTCTGGTTATCAGCCAGGAGGATGGGGCTCTGACTGGAAAATGTTTTAGGGACAAGATGGAGGAAGTTCAGTCAATGTTAACACCTGTGAGCCGTAGCAAAGGCAGTGACCTTCTGAAATAACTCCCTGCCCACCTTTCTTTAACCCAAACAGTGACACAACACTCCTAATATGTTTATGCTTCCCTAAAAGTGGACGGCTACATCTGTACTGTTACTATGAGAAATAAAATGCACCAATTCAATACACTAAATGGTTGCTAAAGCTCTACTTGGTGGCTGATTTTAGCTAACATAACCAAACATTTGATGGTTCTGTGTCACTAATCTCATTAAATTTGGTGATTATGTGATTCTCGTGTGTTATTTTAACATTTGCCACCAAGCAAAAAGAAGAAAAGGATCAAGTTCAGTTTCCAGCTAAGGGATTTAATATTTAACCAGAGTGAAACATTAGCTCATTTCCAACAAGAGGATGACTATTTTGGTCACCTCATATATTTAAAGGTGAAAGATACATTTTAATCTCTAAACTGTTTAACGATTTTTAGTGTAAAGGATTTTCAGGATGGTAAGAGGTAATGTCAACAATTAGAAAGGCTGGCTGGTTGTCAACCCGGACCAGGAAATGCATTCAGAGAAAATGCCCATTTGCACTGTAACTGTGGCTCCACAAAGTCTAAGAAATGTTTGCTACTTACTACATATTACGATATCCTTCTGAAGATTTCACATTAACACTGCACAATTATCCTGTTTTAAATGTTTATTTCCTCTTTAAACACAGTCCTACCTATTCCTCTGGGACAAGAAAGCGTGTGTTTGCCAAATTAAGGGTGACACCATTAACTCCAACAAAGCCTTGAGAAAAACAAACACGTTAACCGAGCACACACACCTCAGGGACTCTACAGTCAGCTGCCTAATGGACCTAATAAAAACAACATGAAGGAATTTGACACACAAGTGCTTTTCATTTGCCTGTGTACAGTGCGCACAGCAGGTTGTGGCACAAATTAGCTTGTTGCAATACCACTTTTGTGCTGTTATCTTGAAACGGGGTGAGGTCAATTACTGTGAGTCAGTGGAATGACAGGAACAGCACAATGTAACAGTGAGGTAATGTATATAATGGAAAACAAAGAGTGAATAGAAAGGGGAACTCCATCTCCTGCTTTCAGAGAGGGATGTCAGGATTTGCCGCTATTAATGATCAACGTTTCACTGTCAGGTGAATTTTCTGTTGCTTTTTTCTGATTTCTGTGCTCCTAAATAAGGTAAAAGATTATGGGATAAGTTTAAAAGAAAATCACATCAAAAGAGAAAAATATACATTGATTTGATCCTGCTAAAATGGGGACAAGACCTTCATCAGGGTAAATGTTTGACAAGGCAATCTCTCATCTGATAATGTCAAACAGAGCTCACTTGTACTGTAAATGTAGTGGAGGCCCACATACCTAAAAAACTTCACTTATGAAATTTAAAAACATTTGATGCACTAGAGAAGAACATTTATATGATTTTTGAGAGGATCACCACACAAAGTTAACAAGGCCAAAAACATCACATCTTTAAATGTAACGTTGGTCTGTAGTTTGTTGTGTTAAATGTTTGACAAAAGATTTTTTTTAAAATTCAGAGCGTATGTTTCATATTTAAAAACCAAACGGGGCACAGCATCACATATTAATGCAGTATACACTACCAGTGAAGAGGCTGGACACACTTTACTACTCGCTTCCATGGCAAAGTGTGTCCAAACCTACATATCACTGGTAGTGTACAATGGAAATGTAGCTCACAGCTGTTCCCATGGGAAGCTCCACAGTTTTATCACAAACGTGAGGATTACCTCTACTTGTATGTCCTTTTTATTGTCCTTTCTACACTGATTTACCTGTAGTAATCTCAATTTGGACTTTTGGATCTAGATTGGAGAACTACATTTCCCATGTGCACTTGCATGCTAAAGCACAGCTGTGCTCTATTTGAAGTCATCATTACCTTTTGCCAAACATTTGCCCTGATGAAGTTCTTGGCTTTTTGATAAAACACGTGTAGTGGCCGTCGGTGCTGAGAAATGTTCTTTTTCAAAATTTGATGCTTTTGCTTTTCCTGCACTGTAGTGTGAAATGGTGATTGTGGACATCCTCTCACATGTATCTACAAACACACTCTGAAGTGGCTGAAAATGGCTCCTAACAAAGGCACTGTCTTCTCCCACTTAAGTAATGTAATGCCAAACAGAGAAGACCTGAGGGGTCTGGAGGTGGAACAGAGGTTAAGGAATCCATAGATGTGACCTGGTGATAAACCATGCAGTGCTTTTAAAGACCGGTAAGAGTATGTGACTTGTTTCTGAATATTTACAGCTTCAAAATGAACATATGGGCCACACACAGGGCAGGGAGGACAAGGTGTTGAGTGATAAAATAACACAGTTAGCAGCTGTTTAAATGCTCTTCTCCAGGCTGATACCATGTTTTAACCCCTAAAACTCTGCAGAATTAAAATAAAATCAGTGTCATTCAGGTAAAACCAGGCTCCTGAAGAGTTCACCCTGTTGAAACATGTACTAAACATGTTCCTCATTAACTAACAAAGCACTTTGTATGCTTACTACAACGGCCCTGAGGCTTGTAGTGACCATTTTCTGCTTTCTTACATGATATTTAATACTGTCATCATTTCAACTTTATCTAAACAGTTGAAGGATCACTGCTAAAATAAAAACAAAAATTAACTGAAAAAAGTAGAGGATTTCCATTTACATCTGTGATATAAAATGGATTTTGAGCTGATGATTTGCTTAAATTGGGGACTTTTATTTTGAAAAAGTTACAAACTAGCACAAGTTTGAAGGTGTGTACGACCTAAGAAATAATTTATCCAGTTTTTAATTTCAGACTTGCCATGCTTTTTTTTCATACTTTTCCATTTATAGGATAATAAAGCCCCAGCTGTTCTGTCTGCCTATACATAATCTACCTTTTTGTGCATCTTTGAACTGATTGAAAAGATAAAAGTAATCTGGTGATGCACAAGCTGAGCTCAGGTCTGTTGTTTCTCTGCACTGATGAAAAGATGAGTCATTGATCTGATGAAGTAAGAACTTCACGGCTGACCCTGTTGTCATTGCGCTCTGGATATGGAAATGTTCTTTTTCTCATTCTGAGAGACAATCGT